AATTTTATTTTTACATTATTTGGAATACTTTATCCAGATAGTGGCCTTGGATAACCAGAAAAGGTCAATGAACAAATGAGTGAATGATAAAAGAAGACAGAGGAGGTATTTTTCTAAGTTTAAGAATCAGCCAAAAAGCTAAACATTTACATAGCTACTATTTTGACTGAAACTTCCTTCAAATGTGTTTCCTTCCCAGCTAGCATATGTGAAAAGTGACCTCTTATCCATTTACATACCTACCCAGAAGTCATGTGATCGGGTTTTTACGTCAAGCTGTCAATTATGATAACAGATACAATAAGAATGGCCCAAGTGTTGATAGCCTGTTTCCTGGCTTTATTGCACAGTTTGTTGATAGTCCACTTGTGTCCCTTTAATTGCCTGCCTCTAATAAACGACTACCTTTGCAGGGGTTTTACTATACCAAGCTCAAATTCTGCCACTTGCCAGGATTCTAACTCATACTTTAGTTTTAGGAAAACTAAAGGGATTCTAACTCATACTTTAGTTTTAGGAAAAATCCTAGAGTTCTTTAAAAGGCTGTTTTGTGTAACGAAAACTTTCAGTATAATGAAAACCACTTTTCAAATTCTTGCTTTAAATTACATCAAGAAAAGTGTTGAAAATATTTAAGCACGAACTAGCCTAATAATTGCACTTGAAATAACAGCATTTCATAGTCATGCAGGAGATGTCACATGCTGAAGCTCAAGCACCAATAAATTCCATGCAAGTTTGAGGAGGAGGGCAAGGACCTGGATTGGTCAGGCCACTCTGTAAGCTCTAGTAAAAGGTGGCAGACGTAACTAGGAGGTTGTCACTTTGACATTATGAAAATAAACTTGCATTTCTGACAAACAGAGGTTACTTTAGAGGAGAAAAAAGTGACTCCCCACTCATTCCAGCTTACATCTCAAATCTACCTCAAAAATTAACATGGCTAGATGGTAATCTTCACTTCTAAACAAGAAGCTTCTTAAATGCAAGCTTTTACTTCCCATTTGCAATAGGCTCCTAAAATATATTGTACTGATGTGGTAATGTACACACTGATGTGGTAATGTGGTAAGGATGTATGCTTTTAATACGACTTTAATCTCAATTATAATGGTGATAATCAATTCAACTAGAATCCTTCCTATTACCCAACTTTCTATGACAGCAAAAAACAAATAATTTAGAAGGAGGCCTTAAATTAGCAAAGTTATAGGGTCAGGCAGATAAAGAATTAGTGGTAACTTATATGAATTGTTTCATTTTATCCATTTACTAAATTATTAGGCTGGATTATAAAGTAACCTCTGTAATTTCTAAGCAATATCCAACATTCTGCTAATTTTCTAAAGAAGATAAAACTTGGGAAATGTTACATTAAGGAATGTGCACAGTGTATGAAGGATGAAGTAGGAAAGGAAACACTTTCCTAGATTTCTGTAAATGTAAGTAGGAGGGGCAGTCTTCTAAACTTTTGAAATTCAAATCATTTAAAGGCATTTCTCAGTAGAGACCTAAAAAGTAGTTTGCCAAAGCAGAAAGCATGGGTTCTTCAAGCTACCACACCATTCCTAATAGAAAGGTTAAACAAGAATGACACTCTAATTAAGTTCTGATTTTAGATTTTTCTCCATGCCAGCAGTGAATCTACTGAGCCAGTAAACTGCCTCAAAGACAGACTACTTTTAGATCTTCAACAATACTCAAGATTGTGTTAAGTAATAACAGTGTGAAGTCAGGTCCTAATCGGTTGGCATGAACTGATTATTCCAACTAATGGGAGGGGCTCTTTTTAATGGCAAATTATTAATTCAATGGCATGATCTTTTTAAAATATTTTACATAATTACTTAATGTAAGAATTAATTCAGATATCATATCTGTAATGATAGGTAAAACTCCAGGATCAAAAAATTATTTCAAGGCTGTTAGCAGCCAGCACTAATCAGTAAAAGAATCATAAAAAGGAACACAAAAATTTATGGTTACTAATAACAAACAACTGTGTATGTAACCCGTTAATGAGTGCAAAAGTACATGCTTCCACTGTTTATATTTGTCAATCTGAATGTATCAACCTTATAGGTACAGTACAAGGTTAATTTTGATATTTTAATATTTTTTCCTCTCAATTAAAGAATGCTAGTATACTTGTGTGTTAGAAATAAGTATATTGAAAGCTGGTTCTATTGTCATTTTGTGGAAAGATTACTTATAATATAGTAAAAATTATTTAATAATTTTAAATTTATTGCTAACTCTAATTTATGTAAGTTATATTAAAGTTCTCTTCTAAAGAAAAAAATTGCACTCAACAATGCACATCAATACTTTTCATAACCTAAAAGGATAAATCTTTATAAAGCAACCACCATGAACTGAAAAATGTACCTGGTGACAATATTTATTCTTAAGGGGTCATGTATATTAAAGGTTATGGGGAATGTTTAAACGAATACTCTCAAGCTAAAACCATTGCCTATCTAATTTTAAATTTCTCCTAGCTAATATAAAATGATTGATTACCTTTATTTCATGTACCCCTTGATTTTCCTTTTCATTCATCACTGGGTGCTTTAAACCAAATGCATTTAGAACCTGCCGCTAGAAGAGTGGTCTCTTTTAAATCTTTGTAAAGTAATGAAAGGACACAGTAAATCAATCTCATTTCTGCTGTAGGAAAGAATAACCTTTACTGAAGTCATTTAAACTATTCCTAGATAGTAAGCAGAAAACTTCATCTCTATGATTCTTTTAAAATTTGAAAGGATAAAAAGAATAGATTTTTAATTGAAGCCTTAGTTTAGTCATATTCATAAACATAATGTATGCATTTATGTTTATCTTCTACGTGCTTCAAAATCATAGTTCACTATGAATTTGGCCTACTGGCTTCTTCAAATAAAGAGTGGCAAAAATGCATTAAGTAGAGGACAAATGATCTATCTTTATGGTATTTAAAAATTGTTACTATGGAGCATATATGGTTTTTCTCTTCCAAGGATCAATATACATCATGTATTCTATAAATAAGTAACTGCATCTGAGTGACCAAAATATATTTATAATTAAAGTGGTCTTCACTCAACATTGTCCTCCTAAATAACAAGTAGCAGTGTTTGATGAAAAAAATTACACCTCTAAATGTCATATATATTTTTCAATTAAAATATGCCCAATCTCCATCCACACTGACTTATATTTTCAGTATGTTTTACTAATTTTCTTTAATTATCTTTAGATATAGAAAGAGAGAAGTGCTACATTAATGAATTTTTGTGATAATTATTATATAAAGCCCCAACATTATCATAAGTAATTTTTAAAAATTAAAGATGCCACAGGTTAGGGCAGGTAGAAAAAAGACTGCTTCTAAATATATGGTTACACTATTCTAAAGGGGCTTAGAGGCTTAAATAATGGAGGTATGTTTTGGTGACTTAAAAACTAACTAAAAAGTAGGGATTTATCATAAAAATAATGCAAATCCCATGACAAAAATATTTCTGAAAATATGTGCCATGAGTCTTAAAAGAAAGTTTCTAAACCTATAAATCCTGCATGTTTAAAAAACACAATGAACACACACACATTTGTCAAATACAACCATATTATAGTAATTATAACACATTTCATATTACAGCAATTTTAGAGGTGAAAAAAAGCAGCATTCCAGAGAATTATGTTGAAAAGCAATGGTTGGCAAAACCACTAATTATTATTTGGTATTTTCATAACTGTATACAGATGTTTTCAGTTAGTTCTCACTCTTTTGTTTTGCTTTGCTTTTTTAAAACCTGGCAAAACGTCAAGTATCCTGAATAAGCTATCATCTTTATGATTTTCTCTGAACTCTGCATGTGGTGACCTTTAATGTACAAGTCTACCACCTTGGCCTACAAGTGGGAACCACTCAAGAACTCTGTACGGGCAAGCTGAGACAGGCCCCAATAACCATCAAGGAGGTGGCCAACTGGCCTAGAGTAAAATAGTGGGCATGAGTACCTGTGCAGGCTTGAAACAGGCATAAAAACTCATACACATATGCATATATATGCATATTGCCTATATACACGGTGCTAACTTGCAAGTGAAGATCAAGTTAGTTAATACCATCTCTTTCTTGTCATAGACAATTTTCCCTATGTAATATTTTATGTATTGTTAATTCCAAACTGCTCTGCTGTCAGTTCTAAAGAGCAGTAAGCATATGCATCATAAAATATATTTAAATTCTGAAGTGTTCAGAATTTTTTCTGTTATGCTATAACTACAATCAAGGGATTTGTATATTGATATAGTTCATGCTTTTGACTATGACTAATTTATTTATAAACCACCATTAATCCTGGCTATATATTTTCACAGTTTGGGTAAACACTTCATTTGCATTAAATTTACAGCATTAATGAGATGTGAAATTTAAAATGCTACTTGAAACATAAATGATGTAAGAAAGCAGGACTGAAAAAAAGTGTTTTATCACATTTAAAATCACTAAACCAATTTAAACCTATTAAAATAGGAATGATGTGTCGCCTGAGATTTTAGCTTCATAACTCGTCTTCCTGGACTAAACTACAAAAGTGAGGGGTAAAACATCTGGAAAATATGAAACTGTTACAAAAAACACAAATGTACTGATTCTACTCTAATTGGCTTTTAAATTGGTTTTCAATGTTTGCCTTTGAAAGCTATACACTAGTAAGTTCTCAATAGCCAATAGACTGAGTGAAGAAAATACTCTGGCCTAACACAATAGTGTGTCCATGTATGTTATCAATACATGCGGAGATGGAAGAGATTGTGAGCCAATTTGAGAAACTGTTCAGAGAGACAAGAAACAAAGATAAATGAAAAAAAATATTGGAAAACCCAACAGTCAATTTCGGTCTCAGAAGCCCCTTGAGCCCCATTTTGAGTCCAGATCTGAGAGGCAACATGGAGAAAAGCACCAAAGCAAAGCATGGCTACACCATTACACCTGGGTGAAACTTGCCCACCTGTTGCTGATGTAGGAAGGATGGGTCTCTTGGGCTTAGTCCCACATATCGATTGGCTTGAGATGTGCCTGAGGCTGTGTAGGCTGATTAAGGAAGAACAAAAACAAAGATAAAAATTGTGAACTATCAGAATGAACATCCTGTCCATGAATAAGAAACCCAGAGAAGTGGGATTTGCAACCAAAAAAGTGTCTCCATTTCTCTTCTTATTCCAGTGAATACCAAGTAATAGAAAAGAAATGGTGATTGATTTTTGAATCAGTTAATCCCCCTAAAAAAAAAAGTCTATCTAGCACATCACATCCCATCCTTTGGTGTGGTGTTTTACTCTTCTGTGCTCCAGTTACGGTCCTGTGGAGGCACAGCGGATTGGCTACAAAGAAAAGTCTTTTCCTACATGTAACTTTTTTTTACTAGATATTAGTGGTCTAATGGAATAATGAATGGGAGTCTGTGTATCTAAATGTAAGGCTGAAAGATTGTCAGGAAAAAAATGACAGCTTTTAATGACAGGATTTAAGCAGACAAGCTTGATGATATGAGATGAAAGCCTTATTAAAGAGAAAATCTAACATTACTATTCTGAAGGAGGAGCCTATTATATTGAATAAGCTTAGTGTTTTATAAAGCAAAAATGCCCTCAAGATTGATAGAAACATTTTTGAAAAAATTCTTTACTGTCTGTAAGTGTAAAAAGTCAATTTCTTGTGATTGACCAGAAAAGAGTCAATGGCACCTTTCTGGTCAGTTCTGAGTTCACAGGGTACAGACACTATCAAGGTCTCATTTTCCAGTTCTTTCCATGCAACTGGCTTTTGGTATAATGTGAATTTTCCATGAGATCATTATTCTTATTCCTAAAGACTTTTGCTACTTTTTACAAGCAAAGTATTAATGTATTTTGCTGGAATCAAGCAATTCCAAGCAAAAGAACTAAGTTTTAACCATGCATTGCATTTGTAGTTTTGAAGATATTCATTTGATTTTAAAGCATCAAAGAAATTCAGGCCTGGATTTTAAAAAGTTGGCTATTAAAAGTAAATACATTAATTCTGTCATGTTCATTTAAGGACAGCAGAATTTGATCATTGCGGATTTTTAGGTCGACTTGTAAAAACACTAAAGATGCTCACAATTCGTCTTTTGATTATGCCTGAATAAAGGGTCACAATAAGAGCAGCCAGGAGCCAGCAGCTAGTAGCCCCTACTTCACCTGCCTCCAGGCCTCGAGAATCCAACATGCGGGCTGGGGCTCTGAAAAGCCTCACCCACTGAGAACACCGAATTTGTGCTCTTCTTTATCTTCAACTATGAAAACAAAGTTCCCTTGGCCTCTGTGTTTTCACTTTATTATCAATTCAATGATCAAGTTCTCATTATCAGTGGTGTTTCAGAAGCTGGCACTACAACTTTGTTTATAGCAAAGAAAACTACTCACTATATTTACGTAGGAGTAGAAAATGGACTGGTGCCGCCATCTTTATACAATCAATATATTCCTTTTGAATATTTTGTAATTTTACTAATCAACTCAGATTCCTTTTGAACAACCTGCATATGAGTATAAAGACAGTTCATTAACAAACAGGCTGAAGGTACACCTGTAAGGAAGCTGTGATTATTTGGGTCTGATCCTGCACTGTACCTCTGCTATTAAGATCACCAAGCTAGTAAGGCAGCAAAAGTTTCTAGATCTTGGTTTTGATCATTTATCTTCAATAGTCTTCCAATTACTTTTTAAAATCTTATTTTCTATGCTTTTATTTAAACTGCTGACTTTGCTTACTCAAAGATGCCATGATATTCAGTTTGCAAACTTGTATGTTACTGTTTCAGTGACTGTAATGTATGTAGCAAACTGTTGGAAAGAAATTTTAGGTTTCTCCAGGTCTTATGCATCTGTGTACTCAGGGGAACATTTGCTACTTTTGCAAGTGTCTACCAACAAACCAACCACTAAGTACAGCATTCGTGATTATTGATGGGCACTACAAGCATCTCTGGATTTAGTTTATGGGGGCTGAGAATTTTAAGAAAGACACTCTGAATACTCATTGTATTGCCAATATTTCTCTTGTAGAGATCCTTCCTAGCCTTTTTTACTCATCAAAAAAGAGTCTTTCCAATGGCCAAGAAAGAGTATTCTTGATTTCTACCAATGTTTTGGTGGAAACAAAGCGTTTTGATCATGTACATTTACATGGGAATTTCCAGAGCATATTGATTTCCTTGCTCCAGGAAAGAAAAAAGGCTGAATTTAGGACACATGTATAATTGTGGATGTGCATATTAATTCCTCCAGATGAGAACTTATCTATTTCACTTTGCCATTCCGTATATCAGTTCAAGTTCTAAGAAACCTATAGTTTGGGTAAGACTATATGAAACTTTATTCCTTGCCTATTTCTGAATATTCCATATGAAACAGCAAAGGAATCATTTGGCTTATTGGTGTGTGCTATGTAAGCTCACTAGCTAAATCTCTGGCATTTAAAGTGCTATGGCCATGCTAGTAAGCACATAGTCTGATGTACCATGATGGGCAAAATAATCAAAAGGTTTAAAGAAAAAGTTGCAGATAATGAAAGTGCAAGTACTTTACATGTGTCTAATGCTAAGCTTTTAAATGTTCTTGCTTGCATCTAAGATTGTGTGACTTTCTAACAATGACATAACCTATGGTAAGGTAAACATGCAATTATCTTACAGAGATGAGGCACTGATTCAGTCTATCTGAAAGAGGGGCTTGATTTCTAAGGGAATGGACCAATAAGAAGCAATTATGTAATCTCTCCTTTGATGATATAAAAACCTTGTATACTACATTATGTTATTCAGTGCAATTTCAATGTATACCTTGAACAAGCAGGCATGAGTGATTATTTTTGTTATAGCTTTTTACTCAAACGAATATGCTTCTCCCTTTTCAAACATGATGCACTGACAGAAATTTGATAAGGGAGAGCACATTACAGCAAGGTCATATACATGCCTGCTAGCTCCACTTAAATGAGAAATCTCCATCTGGTAGGTAGCAGGAAAAGTTGCCATGTTTTCCTTCCACCTTGGATCAGATATCCAATGGCGCCTTTGATGGACATTTCTCATTTCCTACCCAAATACTTACTGGTTGCTGTAGGTGAAGCTGCCTCACCTTCAGTGGATGTAGTGATGGGTTTAGTATCTGTCATGGTCAGGGTCACAGGTCGCACTGCACTGGGATGGGGAGAGGGTGCCAAGACAGGAGTGAAATGGCCAGGCACTTTCCCTACTACTTGACCACTGCTGTTAGGCTACAAAACAAAAACAGAACGCCAGGTGAAACAATCCAAAAGGCATTTAGCTTGTTCAACAACTCCACTCTGCACTTGTGGCCACGTAGATCCTGCATACTTTGGGTCACACCACACGGACCTTCCCAAGTCTGAGTTGAAGGCCAACCGGTGGTTAGTAGTAATAAAAAGTAATGGTATTTAGAGGAAGTTTTTCATCTTCAAAAGCACTTTGTATAGATTATTTAGTGTTTCCAACACCCCCAAGTGTCAAAGAGGCTTGATCCCTTCATTTAGTAGGACAGAAAACTCGAGTGAAGATTCAAAGGCTTGGTTCAAGATAAAACAGACTTCCTTACTGAGCAGACTACAGTTACAGCCTCGTAGTTCTTCATTCCCTGCTCTTCATTTTCTACACTTGAGTCTATTTGGCTTTCAAAAAAAATATCCTCCTGAATAATTAAAATACTGACACGAGAGACACAAGAATGTCTAGAAGAAGAAACACATCCACTCTATAGTTCCCATCATCAAAAGTCAACGCTGATTCTTCTGCATATAAAAACCACTGCTTCTCTTACACACACAGGTATGTCAGACACACACACAAGACAATTTAGAGTCTAGAATCTCCACTCAATTTTTGATGAGTTACGAATACAAGCAGATAGATACAAGCATCTAAACTTTCAGATGAATACGATGATTAAATATACTGAAGTGAACCAGAGGATAATCAAATGTACACTGCTTCTTGAGGAATTCTTCCACTGTTGCACATGAAGAGTTAGGCAAAACTTTTATGGCTGCTGTTTATGGGAATTAACTGAGAAAATTGCCTGGGCTATGGCAGAAAATATATTATTATCTGAGTTTTAGCCCTTTGGTGGAAAAGTAGGAGATTTTAGCTTCAGCTAGGAGATAAAATTCTAAGGAAACACTGAAGAATCTTGTAGACAAAGAATGCCATTTTTTATCGTATTCATGCTGCAATTCCCTACTGCATAGTTATTCATAACAACTTGCTAGGAAGTACTCCACAGATACAGTCTCTATAATCTCAACTGTTAAAGACAAAGTGATGAAGCAGAATATTTATCTAAATACCTGTACATAAATTACAAGTGGACATTTCTTTAGGAAAAAAGATAAGGAGCTAGAGACATTTAAATATTGTGACTTAGAGACATGAACTAAGTCTTTGGTTGAGTTCCTCGGAGGTCATTTTCTTTATTTTATAAATAAAGAAAATAAAATAAAGAAAATGACCTCCTTGAATATCCTGAGTATTCATCATGGATAATTTTCTGTATTTAAGTTTATGTCAGGAAAATTGACCAGAGTTTTTCTCTATGGAAACCTATGGGAGAGTTATATCTTTAAACTAATTTTATTCAAAATACCCTATTGAATAGCAAGGCTGTCTCACTATAATTGGTGCAGCAGTAATGCAATTAATCCCCAAATTGCTGTGGGGAGGAAAAGGCATCTCAGTTGCTTAACAATCAAAATCAGTGCTGTGCTGGAGGAGGCTGGGAAGAAGCAGTTGACTGGTCATCAAGCACTCATTTTTTCCCCTCATTTCTAGGGCAGAAAAGGTGAATATCAACAGTTCTATTTTGAAATGCAGATTAATTAGTTTTGAGTTGGAGTAAAGCATGAAAGCTGATATAATGCTCCTAAAACAACATTTCCACAGTTTACTATAGAGACCTATTTTCATTTCAAGGGAAATAACTGTTTGTTTCTAAAGCAAACCACCAAACTCAGGCTTTTCAAACTTTGCAAGGGACTGCTTTGTATAGCAGTTTCAACTTATCACTGGTAGTGCACTCAGTATTAAAAGTGTTTCCATACAGAAAAAGTGTTCACCAAAACACTTTGATAGTACCAACCTGGAACAGGGACAGAAAGATAATAATTGAAGGAAATGCTACCATCGACCATGATACTACTCTGCCAGTTTGTAAATGCAGTCTACTAGAATTGAAGCAACGTGAACTGGCAGATGATTCTCCCATTTTGAAGTAATAAAAGGGACAAAGAAAGAATACCCAGACTAATTTAGAAAATTTCTTTGAAATTCAGTATCAGAAGACTGGGAAGGTTATATTGCTTTAGTTTTCTACTAGTTTAAACAGGTGAATCTAAGCTATAAAGCCTCCATCTTTTAAGTCTGCTAATAGATGAACTTTTATACTGTAGATATGAAACGAGTTTTATCTGAAGATGAAGCTAAACAGCATTAGGAGAGGATTATCCTTCTTAGTACATTGCTCTTATTATACAAAATCCTGAGAGAATTTTTTGTGCATGTCTTTTAATTGAGATGAAAGTAAGATGCTTCTCTTAAAAACTGGATCTTTATCTTCAAAATGTAAAGAAATCCTGAGAACAATATAGAAATGTAAGGAAAACAATATAGACAGATTATCACCTAATATGCTCTCTTATAAAGAAATTGAAATATACGTAAAACAAGCACCGAATAATTAAAGAAATGCGTAACACTAAGGGCCTGATTTTAATTTGCATAATTTTTCCCCTAACAGTGCCTAATTAAGACATCAGTTTAAAAAAAAATCCAATGGAACTCTAAGATTTTCCACACTGAATTAACGTTAAGGACTTTTAATGGATGTCTTAATTAGACTTTGTTATTCATGGAAATTCTACACAAATTAAAATCAGACCTTGTGTGCACTGTTCCCAGCTGAGTCTAGCAAAATGCTCTATGGAACTGAGACTTTTGAATCCATGCTCTGACAGCAAATTTCATTTCTAAACTAGTATACTAAGAACCTATTCTCTCAGTTGTCATTAATAATACAGTCTTTACACTATTTGTACAACGTCTTCTGAAATACAAATAGTAAATTTAACTTTAAAATTCCATGTTTCATTTAGTATATTAGTGGAGCTACAGATAAAGCTAGAACATACTCAAAGGGTGCTGGATACAACTGTTATTCAAAATAAAAATATTCAAAAAGGACCATTTTCTCTTATTCATAGTAAATATTTAGTGAGGATCATTTTGCTTCATTTAGCAAATTAAAACCAAAAGTTTTCTTCTGAGTTTTGTTAATTAGGTGTGATATCTATATCATAGTCACTCTAATTTTAGTAATTCAAAAGAGGTAATGATGAATGTTGTAAACCCCACCCCAGTATTAAAAGTATAATAAGAAGTGGACAGGAATTCTGCAGGTAAAGTAGCAAAGCCAAAAGATCAAAATTTCATAACAGTGCTTGGACATTATAATTTTTTGTAGACCCCACACTGGCATAAGACTGCCTTTGTCTACTTGATTGTGGAAAGCCTTCCATTTCAAATCCCTGTGAAGTGACTCTCCATCGAGAAAACACACAACTAAGGAATGATAAATACGCATGAATCACTGAGCTTATACAATGAATCCACAAGATCACTGTACAATGCTTTTTTGAAATAAAAAGATGCTTCTAGTAATGTCATTGATTATTAAATGTAAGTCATATCTCTGCAAAGAATATTAAAGCAGCTATCAAACACTGAAATTGTTTATACTACCAAAGCTTATTTTCATATTTAATAACTGGCCTATAAACACAACTGTAACTTCTTTTGTGTATGTTTATTTTAACACATACCTTCTTCCTACCTGAAATAAGCATTTTGCAGAGGTGTGAATTTCAGCTCAAAGGTTTTTTTTTTTTTGGTGATGAATATTCTGCATAAACTTTCCCTTCAGTCAATGAAAATCCAAAAGTATTAAACCAAAAACATACTCTTTTAAGACAACACACTTCCTACCTGTCATTCAGCCACCTTTAAATAAAAACTTGCTGAATCACCAAGACACTTCCTGAGAACCGATGGCAAGGCATGATGCTCTAGGATTACACCTGTCCCATCTCCCTTAAATACAATCTTGTTTTCTCTCTCTCTCTCTTTTTTTACCTGGCTGGTTTGCGGACTGGATGGGTCATAAGAAGGTACGTAGTTCTTCAGAGTATCCTGAGGATTCAGGTGGGGAGGATATCTGATTGTTGGATGAGAAAAGTAGCTCGATGGGGCTGGAGGCAGGATAGCTTGTGTAGGAAATGGCAGCGGTGAGGGTGGAGGTGGAGTTCGAGTTGAGATGACTGTGGAACAGGAAGGGAAGATAGACTGGTCAGCAGATTTTCTTACAGCTGTGTCCCAACCTTAAAGAGTGATGTCAAACTATAAAATTGGTAGTACTTCGTTTTTTCCCCACGATTTAATCAAGCTCTGCAAATTATTCTCTCCTTGTTATTCTCAGCGCCATCCTGCTAAAAACAGAGACAGAACCCCACCCTTGGGAGGGAATGTTCTTGCTCCTAGATCCATGATTGACTGAAAAAAGTATATCTTTTATAGGTCATGTCAATGCCGCCTAAAGCATTTCTTTGGGTAAAGTTATTTCCCATCAAAACACATTCTTTAATTATAAGGTCTATGTCTTCTTAATTCCAGACCAAGTCACAACATGAATTAGGGGGCAGGAGACCCATGCATTTTCTACTAAAATTCAAAATAGAAGTGGAGTCTAATTTCCAATAAGTCATTTCCCTAAGCATCCCAACTAGCAGCTGTTCATAAAAGAGGCCTGCAATCAATCTACAAAATCTCACATGAGTAATTACCTGGCCACTGTAAAAATATTTCTGAACATTAAAACACAGGACATGGGAACATTTTATCCCAATAAAGATGTTCAAAACTATCTATCCTACAACTATTTATTTTTCTAAACTCTGACTGTATGTAGCTTCAAAGACACTAAAGGAAAACTATAAATACAACCCACAGAAATACACAATAAATGTTCCTGTACATAGGCATATTGTTAGCCACAAATTGTATTTTTATTTTAATTTCTGCAAGGAACAACTATATAAAACACATACAATGTGGATAATGTTTAATGTTAATGTAGTTCTCAAATTAATATGATCACAATTACAAATTTATTTTTGCAAACATAATATTTTAGTTTGAAAAATTGAGAATGATATATTTAAATGATTATTACCTCTAGAAGGTTGAGGGAAATAAGTACAAATTAACACAATATGAGTAAAAATTTAATGTCAGTTTCTTTTTAATATCCAATCAAATCTAAGGAAATTAAAATGTTTAATATTTTATGGAACAGCTTATCAAACAATATGAAAAGATAATTTTCCCATGATCTATCAATGAAAAGCAGCTGAGATCACTATCTTCAAATCACAATTTTGCATAAAGAAACTCAAAAGTTTTTAAAGGGATATTGATTATCTTTCCTAAGGAAAATTTTTAGAATACACAAAAAATTACATATGTGTAAGACTATAAATAAAAGTTTGCACTTTCAACTGTGTTTCCTCGTTGTTCATGATGCTATTTCTTAGGATTCTCTAGACTGTCATTATAATACAGATCCCTGGGTCTAACTGCAGACATACTGGATAAGGATCAGCAGAAATTAGCTAGTTCAAATCGGTCTCCTGTGCAGCTTTTCTATACGCTGTAGCCTGAGCGTACTATCAAGTACTTCAGAGAATAACTGCACATTTCTTAAAATTTCTTATCATGAAGCTTTTATTCAAGTGTATCCTCTGAAAAGTATAATTTAAGGAAGTACAAATAAGTAAAAATTGGTGTCTTTTTTACTTAGGTCTAAGTGCTCTTATCTCAGCTCAGTTTAACTATGGATTTTGATCACATCCCTGCACAAGTTCTGAGATACACACACATTTTGTTTCTCATGTTGTACTCTCTGAGTTTGGGAACCAATTTGTCCTTAGTGGTTCTGAAAGAAACATTTTTCAACTGAGTTGGTACAATTCACCCGCTCATATTTCTGGGAAAACTGACCCTCAGCTTAAGTAAATTGCAGCCAGCCTGATATAAATGGATAGAATAATATATTTCAAATGGAAAGTAAAAATGGCTATCTTATCAGTAAGTTATTCTGGTCCTTTAAAAAGGAAAAAAAAAAAAAACAAAGATGCAACATAAAAATGTTTTCCTTAGTTGAAAGAACACGCGTACACATATGTATGTACCTCTTGCCAGGTCACTGCAAAAGGCCCCTGACTGTCTCCCGCCCTCCAGTCTTGCTCCTTCCAACACAACTCTTAGAGTTCTGCTCTGCTTCAGTGACTTGTATAATCGTGCAACTTTGCTGCTAAATTCTTTTAATGGTCTCCTAGTGCTTTCAGGATAAAATTTCAACAGCTTCACAAGTACATATGGTCCTCATGTGCCTGAGAACCCCAGCCTGGACTACCCCTTTGCCTACATTATGAAATTCGAGCATGGTAGGATATACAGCAGGTCTTGCTGCAATCAATGGTCTCTCAAGGACTGATACATGCTGTTGCCTGAAATACGCTTCTTCCTGGTATGTTTTTCTTTCTGCTGAACTCACCCTTCAAATTTAGCTCAGAACACCATTTATTCCAGGCATATAACCCTTCACCAAGTACCCAGTCCTGTTCAGTTAGAATGCTAGCCAGTTTTGCAATGGGGATCTTTGACTTACTACTACATCAAGAGTTCTTGAAGGACAGAAACTATCTTTCTTAATTAAGGTAATTACTAACAGAGTGAGAAGAAAACTCACAAATTCAGAAAAGATTTTTGCCAACTGTCCCTCAGACTAAGATAATTACCACAGGACCTCATGTACTAGATACTTAACAAATGTTTGATGAAAGATCAAAGTGGAATATTTATTCCACGTCTCCTATGTTTTCTCATATAAAAATACGTTAATTTTTTTCAAATAGTAGAAGTATAAACTTCTAATTAGGTGTCATAATACATAGACAATATGACTTCTAAGTTAATTTTGGCCAAATATGTGACATTATAAATCTATGAAATAGTTATTGATTTTTTCACCTATCTCAGTAGTACAAACAATAAATGTAAAAATTCTTGTTCCACATTACTTTGCATTAACCTCTCTCAAATTCATAATTTTGCTAGTTTTAACACTAAAGGTCATGTATTGTTTTTCAAATATAGCAAGAGTAAATAACATACACTTACAAACTAAATTGAAGGCTTTATCAGGTATTGCATCCTATTAGTGCAGATTTAGAAACTAGATTCAATTTATTTGTAGGATAGTAAATTGCCTAATTTTAAATTTTAAAAATGGTATCATTATAAATGTTTATATATAAAACTTGCAATTTATTCCTTTCTAGGACTCAATAATCTGTATAAAGTAGAATAAATTGATTACTAATTGAATATAATTTTTTAACTTTCGAAAGACTGTTAATTGTTATCTAAAGTGTAAAATATTGGATGTAAATAGAATACAGTTCCTCAAAAGAGTTGTGCATATAAAACAATTGCCATAGAAAAGAACTTCTTTTCTGTTTAAGTTCTAAATAAGTACTGATTTGTGTACAAAAAATATTATTAACAGAAATTGTGTCTATATATGTTAATGTCATTGGAAAAACCCTAAACTAAGCAATACACTTGAAAATTCATCTTTGTCTTAGAATACAGAGGTAGGACAAATCCTGAAGTTATGTACTTTTTCTTTCTTGAGTATAATCTTTTTAATAAGATTATTCAATATGATTTTTATTATAGTTTTCCAACAAGGACAATTTAAAAATATGTATACAAATATTATGAAATCACACAACTTTGAAAATGAGTTTTTCAGGGCCAGGACAAGTGCCTGCCTAGCAAGTGCAAGGTCTGATTTTGATTTCTGGTACCAAAAAGAAAAGAAAAAAAAAAAGAGAATTGAAAATATTTTCTCATAAACATATAAGAAAATGTGTTTTATCAGACTGTGACTCTCCTGCTTTGGGATGATAAAAAAAAAAGAGGTCACCACTGCTATGACTATGAACTTTTGCTCCATCCCTAAGGGAGCCAAGCCTCGCCCCAAGGGGAAGCTCCTCTGTGTTTAAAGCTCCTCACCACTGTGTGCAACTCCAGGTATTCCGGGATGGTGATGCTGGGGGAAAGTGCTCAATCTTGGGGAAGAATCCTGTGGAGACGTGGAGCTGAACAATGGCTTTTCCGGTTTCTTCATAGTAGTTGGAGAAGACATATCTGTGAAGGAGGAGGAAAAATTTCAAGTGGCAGGACCTTCTTAAACTCTGAGGCTCACGTCAACACAACAGCAGATCTCATTTTCCAATCCTTTAGTGCTTTATGCTTTAGGTCTTTTATAAATTCTATACTATGGGTCAAAGACCCAGCTACATTAAAGCTTCAAAATATCTATCTGAAATGTTCTCCACTAAAACTAACCAAAATCTTTAAAATTATCATCAGAATTATTCATATTACTTAAGGGATTCTGAAGTTCTGAAAATGCAAGGGTCATTTCCTTTAGCTCCTTGGTTCACATAAAGGTTATCTTTACCCCATCATTTCATTCTTTGGCTTAGATGATTCCAGAGCAGTCTTTTGACCTGCCGACACATTGTGAAAACAAATGGAGGATAACCTCATTAGACATGTGAAGAGCAACCTTTGAGGATGTTGATAAATACATCAGAAATTCAATTTCTTTTATGAAAGACTCATTCACCTGCTTAGCAAAAAAAAAACACAACAACTTACTTTGTTCACTCTACAAATATTTATTGGGTTCCTCTTCTTATCAGATAAAGTGAAGTTACGAGAAATAAAAAGCAATTGCTGCCATTGGGATGCTCATTTTCATTGAAAAAGAAGTTGCCAACAGCTGAGGAGTATGTTGAAACATGGATGGGCATAACATTACCAGGGTAGCAGTATTCAGAAAAAGTGGGATATAACGTATGAGAACACATCAACTAGTTGGTAGGCTGGTGATTTCTAGAGATAAACAAAGGGATCAAATAGCAGGCAAGACCCACACAATAAAGGACCATGGACTTTGTGCTCAAAAGTCCTAATGCCTACCCTGACAGGAGAAATGTTACAGAAGGGTGAAATACGATAACAATTACAGGTTACAGCAATCTCTCTATAAACTACACTGAGGATGGATTATCTACAATGGATTCAGAAAGCGCAGAGAATCACTTAAGAAGATATGTTATTAATATATTCATTTCATAAATATTTATTCAAGGTCTACTTGATACCAGATACTGCAACAGTTTCGGGGGAGAAAATAGTGAAACATTCACTATCTTTTTATATAAAGCTCAGAAGTTAGTGAGCCAATAAGAAGTAAAAAGTAGTTATAGAACAGTATAGAATATGGCATGGAAGAAACAGTAGGCAGGGCTCCATTGGTTCACTCATCCATTCATTCTCTAAATATTTAATACTGCCAAAAGATAGACCATGAGATCTGAGGCACAAGTAAAGATACAGCAAATGCAATGGATAATTAAACAAAATAAAGTAAGTTAAATTCATAACTTATATGGAAGATGATTGTGTTAGGAACTAAGAAATTTCACCATGCAGTGAGTTGGAATCGAGAATTTAGCAAGAAATCCTGTTGGGCAAGAGCAATGACCCTTGGATTAATGGCTTGAGCAATGCTGATTTTTATGAAAGTTTATAAATTCATAGTAAAATGTTCTAGCAATGATAAGGCCATAAAATTTCCATTTTATATTCAAAACATTAAGTATTCAATTGGACAGAGTAACAATGGATTCTCAAGTACCCATTATTCAACTCCGCAACTATCAGTCCAGAGCCAACCTTATTTGATCTTTATTCCCATATATCTTCCTACTTCCTGTATTACTGGAAGAAAATTCTAGATATCATATAATTTGCCTCTCAGTCAGTACATTTCAATGTACATCCTTAAAAAATCTTTATTATATTAAAATAAATAAAACACCAAACCTTTATCATATATTTAAATACATATAATTTGCATTTTAATTAGAAATATTATTTGAAGTGAGAAAAATACTTCATAGTGCTATTAATGTGAGAAATTAGTTATCACTTTTTTACCATTTGAAAATTTCCTAAGTTCTGCTAAAGGAATGCAATAAAATTAAATATGTGTACTCATCATGCTGGCATTTACAAAACGCATATGCTACTGAAGATAGTGTATCTCACAGTCAATAAGAAACGACAGGTGTACTTGTAGCCATAAGCTACAATTTGTGACTAACTAGCTGTCATTAACCTACTGGGAATTTCATGAGTCAAGAGATCCCTTTCCTTCTACCTTTCTCAAAATGAAAAAAATAAAGAAGGTGCTCATGAAACTACAATGCAGCTTCTGCTGAAGGAAAAAATTTGAATCAGGATTTTAAAATAGACAAAAGAAGCTTACTTCAGCTAAGTTATATCTCAAATGTCAAAAAATAACAGTTTTACTTAAAGAGTATGTGATACTAAAAAGCAGTAATACAAATATGGGGTATTTTTGTCTAGTGGAGGTTAAACCATACATATATAGATTGCTAAAGGTAGAAGAAACTTTCAGTTCATTCCTAAAAGAATAGATGCATGCAGTAATTTTCCATTCCAATTTTTACTTTAATTAACTCTTGGAAAGAACAACTTTCTGTTAACACTCATAGGTTTGCCTGTGCTTTAAAATAAATTTCAAATACAAGGAACCTATATAAATCAGTTTCTACAAACCCTTAGTATAAATAACAAAGTGTAATATATCCAATTTTAAAACAATTAAATGCATGCATAGCTTGGGAAGCAAATAGTGTCATTCTAGTTATATCATTTCTGAACAAAATCAAGGCAACTGCAACACTGTAACTATGTCAGAACGCTCATTAAACCCAGCAAAATTTATATGAATCACTTTTTGTAAAGGCCACATGAAATGAAGATGTTTTACAGATGTTCAAAAACAAGTAATTATATAGTTTTAAAATTTTCTTAGCCAAAATGATATACAGAATTTGGCTTCTTTGAATAATTAATTATCCTATGTCCATTTATTTCTCTGGTCCTCTTTTAGGCATGTACCTAATAATAATGGTATCTTCTTGTTCAGAACACATAGTATTATAGAGACCAACACAGCAGAAACAGAAAAACTTTTATTTACTGCTCAAGATGAAAAAGCGACCACAAACTATCTCTTCTTAAACAAATTATTTAGAACAATAAAAATAAAATGAGAAAGTCCACTTGCCAAACAACAGGGATTTGCTTGAGAAGCAGGTAAACAATGATAGTCTTACAATATAGGCTTCACTGCCTTTGTTTTTCCATTAAATGAATTCAAGAACCATTAATCAATAAAGAAATACTGCTATACAGTATATAAAAAGCACTTCCTAAGCACTTGGGGAGACATAAAGGTGAATCCCTTCTCAAGAAGAAAAGAAAACAATTCTCTCTACTCAGGTGGGAAATAAAAGGTTACTTCTACAGGGGAAGGAAGGATAAAGTTTTTCTAGCCATTATATTTTAACCAAGAACCAAACATTGTTTGAAGGTCTGAAGTCTAACAGACTATCAACCTAAATAATGTTAACATTTCTATTTTAATTCGCTCATGTACTATAGAGAAGTTTGAGAAACGAATATTATAGGAGAGACAGTCTCAAGTGACCTTCCTGCAAAGAAAAACAAACGTCACGCTTTCCACAATCTACTATCCTTCCAGTAGGAAAAGTAATACATAAAAAGATTATATTGAAAATAATAGAGCTGAATAACATAAATTTATAATAAACTGAATAATATATGTATAATAATTCATAAGTCGAATAATACATCAAATAAGGAAGTTGAGAGAAGCAAGACAGAAGAAGAATTAGCTGGTTTTTCTGTTGACAGAATTATGGCAGAAACTGCCAGTGGATGAATAGAAAAAACTTAAAGGCCAGTGAGAATTGGAAATTAGCAAAGAAATTTAAATTTTATCTAGAAAGGAACAACTTATAAATGAAATGACTTCAGAATAAAACAAAACTTTCCAAAAATTTGACTTTTTTTCCTGGTATCTTTCTCCAAGCCTTTTTACTCATAGCTGGTTGAATAATTTCCTCCTTGTCTTCTCCAGGCCTTCTTCATCACCACCAGTGATAAAAATGGTAATTGAATCATATCCTTCAGTCTCTTTCTCATACTAGCTTCTATACACTTCCTTGTCAATCTATTTTATTTTAACTAAGCTAATTTCCATATGGTCTCCTTGAGGGACAGGAGGAATGTGCTTCTATCTTTCTGTCATTCCTTGCCTGTGACATTCCTTTAGGCTAGAAATTTACCTTTCTTCCCAATTTTTAACCAACTGAACAAAGTTTCATCCATTGAACAAGGTTATTTTCCCCTAAAATAATCTGTCCTGGGAGCTTCTGAACCTCATTAATGATGTGTTTTTGCAGCTCATATCATTTGATAGCTTTTCCATTATGATCAGTTTTCACTTGTTCCATTGTGCATACTTTTTTTAAAAAAGTTGACTCATAGCTTGCTTCCTACAGAAGACAATTTTATCAAATAGTTAAGAAAAATGTGGAGTCTGAGAGACTGTGCTACTTGGTAGAGAATTTTTTTTTTTTTTAATCTAGGATTGAAAGAAACTTGAAGAGGAAAAGCGGTTACCATGTCCAGGCAGCTTTCTTTAGGATCTCCTGCATATGAAAGAGGCTGTGCGGGGCAACCAGTGCAGGGTGAGCAAAATGACCACAAGCCATTACATCTTAAAATGAATGTTCCATAGGCAGAAATTGCCGATAAGAGCTTAATGAAACACAAAGAAAGAAATCAAATCATTCACTGAATGCCCAATAAGGGTAAGGGACTACAGTTACACATAAGGTTTAAATGCTAAACAAGACCACTTGTTCCTGTCCTGGTAAGGTTTACCATTTTACAGAGAAAGTAGTAGGCAGGAAAGACAAAAAAAAGTCATTAAATAACTGCAATTCAATACCTACAGTCTTAGGCTATAGAAATGATTAATCGAAGAAAATTGGAGAGGCGAGATTTTAAAAGGAAAACTGATGCAATCCTTCAGTGTCTATACCCGTGTTTAGATCTGTAATTGAAAAATTAGTAGTGAGAGACATAACAACAGATGACCAAGCAAGAGAAAGTTCAAGTAAGCAACTAAAGTAAGTTCGTCCAGACTTAAAATGATTTTCAAATAAGCATTTTGC